CCGCCCCTGCTTCTGGGAGGCAGCGGCACTCTGTCCTTGCCCACCCACACCTACCCCTTAGGGCCTTTCCAATTACCCCCAGGAGTACACGTACCCCCAGTTGACAACCCCTCCCTATATTATATAGATTTATACTTTTTAGAAGTTTGTGTGTGTGTGTACATATACACATACATATATATTATTTTTAATTAATTAAGGTGTTTTATTCAAAAATTTAAAACTTGTTATATGGAAGCTCTCCTTTTTCTGCTAGAAGTCAGTAATTTCTATGTCTTTTGGAGCATTGAGAAATACATTTTTTAATTTAAAAAAATTCTGGTTCTCTGATCCTATAAACTACTTTGCAGGGCTCAATTTTATGTTAGAATGTATTTTGTTCATAGAGATTACCTCTTAAATCTGTTTTTCCTTGAAGTCTCAGAGGACAGCAGTTAGAAAATGTTAACTCAAGCACCCTTCAGAATGACCTAATGTAATTATTTCTATTGTGTCCATCTTCCAAGCACCTTACAAACACTGATTAGTTCTTGCCACACCTGAGGCGTATTCATATTTCTATCTCAGTTTGACACCTAAAACTGAGACTCAATCATTTGTATTGTGATGCCGTAGGAGGCTTTGTCAGAATTGGGAGTGTGCCCAGGTTCCACACTCAGTCTTGTACACACAACGCTATGTAATACTGCTTATGTCCAGGACCTACTGAGAGCAAATTGAAGCAAGTTAAAGCAGCAGCCACTAAATATTGAGTGGTCTTAATTTCAAGTCATCTTGTAATGAAAATCTCCAAAGGGAAAGGATCAGAACCTTCTTTAAATTAACCAACATGAGTAACTTTTAAATTGAACGTGTTTGTCCTTGGGGGACTTCCCTTTTAACTTGAAAAACAAATCCAATACTAATGGTATCTTGCCTTAAATCTTTTTTCCCTTTCTTTTTCTTCCTTCATTTGATATGACTTTTTCTACATTGCAGCCTCAAACCCGGGGAAGTGTCTCTCCTCCACTAACTCCACCTTCACCTTCACTACGTGCAGGATCCTTCACCCCTCTGACATCACTCAGGTTACCCCCAGGTATGAATCAAACCATTACTGTGTGGAAATGAACTTCAGATATGGAGAGGTCTAGGAAAAAATAAGGGTACCAGAATTTCCCAGTAATTGTAAGAGTGAAGGATGGCTAAATGGAAATATAAATTATGGAATTCACTGTTGTGGTGAAGTTAGTAAAACATTTTGATGCACTTTTTAAATAAAACCTAGTTACTGTCTTCTGGCTACCTGTGTAAATATTCAGTCTAATACAGGGAGATGATCACACTTTATACTTCTGGGTATATAGTGAAAGATGGCCACCTTTGGCATTTAGTATTATTTACAACTTGATAGAGATGGCCTGCCTGCTGGATCATAGATTTGGTTGCCTGATATTCTTGTATATTAAATACTATTTTAAGGTGCTGGTGTCTTTTCTAATCTGATGTAGTAAACCCTATGTGAATTCACCAAGCTCTTCTACAAAAAGTCTGGGTCTAGTCTGAAACTTTCTGCTTATTCCACCCAATAAATTGGTATTCCAGAAAACTGCACCACCTTCCAAATTACAATCTGGTGATGTTTTCTGAAGCATTGAGTTAGATTTTTTTTTTTTTAAATACACACACAGAAAAAAAGTGCTGGACTCTAAGAACTCCCATAGTTGGATTATATTGGGTCCTTTAGGATTTGATATGTTGATATAAAACTTACCTATTGATATGTCAATTTGCTACCTTTCTAAGCCATTGCATAATTTTCTTCTCAGTTTTGGTCCTCCAATGTTTTGGATTTTTGTTTGATTTATATTTCTGAATGTCTTAAGTGATGCTATTATTATAGTTGCACTGAATACATGCTTTGTTTATTTTTTTAAATTGTTTTTCTCTGTGTTATGTGAAAGATGCCAGAGGAAAGTGCAATAATAATGATACTCTGTGTGTGTCTGTTTCAGTTCCACATACATACCACTGTCACTTGGAAATAGTGGCAGCAGTACTGTCAACACAATGGTCAGCTCCCCAGCCCTGTCTTACAGACTGAGTATTGGAGAATTTCTCACCAAGAGGAGAGACTCTACTACCACCTTCAGCAGCACTAGCAGTCTGGCTAAACTCCTGCAAGAACGAGGCATTTCTGCCAAGGCTCATGATAATCCCATCTCAGAACAACTGCCTCTGCTACAGCCCCCACAAACCCTTCCCATTCCTTCCACTCCACCAAATTCTCCTTCTCATTCTTCTCATCTTTCCCCCTTGCCATTTGAGTCTCGAGCACATCTCTCTGAAAATTTCCTAGCATCTCGACCAGCTGAAACATTCTTGCAGGAGATGTATGCCCTGAAGCCATCCCATAACCCTCCTGACGTAGGCCAACTGAAGATGAACCTGGTGGAAAGGTTGAAGAGGTTGGGTATTGCCAGAGCAGTTAAACCCCCTGAAGCAGGGGGCAATGGAAAAAATGAAGGGCCAGAAATTGGCCTGAGAAAGCAAGACTCTGCTGTCTTCTTAAGTGCAGGTAGCAACTTAATGGGAGGACTGAGAAGGAATCAGAGTCTTCCAGTCATGATTGGGGCCCTTGCAGCTCCAGCTTGCACATCCTCATCAAAAATGGGCATCTTGAAGGAAGACGGATTTACCCGAAAGTGACAGACTTTTAGCAGGAGAGATGATACATAAAGGGTACATATCTGATATAGGCACGGATTAATATGTAACAGCTGCAGAAGGCACGTGCATGTCGAAAGGTGTAAGAGAAGGGAAAGTAGAGGAGCTGAGGAAGAGGTGTGCACACACACACACAAAGATTTGAAGAAGAAAGTATTAGAAAGAGAGCAAAGGAAAGAAAACCAAAGCCAAGCCTTGAGGTCCTTCATGCATCTTAGTAGTTTGAACAAAAGGAAAAAACAGAAACAGGCATTTATTGCTATTTGTACCTTTAAGCTGGTGTCTGAGGACATGATGTATTGTAATGTTTTTTTTCATTTTTCCACATTAATGGTATTACTTTAGCAATTTGTAGTGGTCATAATGGGCCATTTAGATGCTTTTGTTTCTTTTAGCGCTATAGTTGTTTTGTGCGAGACAAAAATAATAGATGCAAATCCCTCTTCTTAGTGAGCAGCAAGTACAGAACAACTTATTTTTTTCTGGGGGAGGGCTCGTTTCCAATTCAGAAACTTAATTCTGTATAGAAAACACTATTTCCATTTGAAAACAGAAATTGGGGTCAGGATTTTTATTTTTGGATAAGTCCAATGGTGCTAGTGGCGTATTAAGAGAATAGTTTCTTTTCAAACTTTCTGAAGGCTGTTAGAAGCACACTGAAGGAAGTGGAGTCAGGAAGACTGAATCAGGAGACTGCATATTACAGGAAAAACTTTTATGTCAAGCTAGGAAAATTTTCCAAAGTATACTATGTATATTTTTAATGAGAACTTTTATTTGCACAAAAAAATCTCAGGCACACTTTTATATTACAAAAGGTAGTAAAACCTAGGTGCTTGATTCAGGTATTACTTGTACTTCTATCAAACAGGGAACATAACAGAAGATAAGAGCAGTTCTATGACTGATTCTTCTCTTGAAATATGGATAGTCTCTACATTTTGAGAGAACATTTTCTAAAAGGCATACACATAATGCATTTCACATTTAAGTCCACTTCTCTCAGTCTAGGTAGGATTCTCTTAAACAGATTTCATTGAAAAAACAATCCAGGAAAACTGTTCTCTAACTATGTAGTGCAAAAACAGATGTTCAAGACTGGCACTAAAGCAGAAAGTAAGATTAGAAACTAGTGCTTTTGGTTGCTACTTTTATTAGAAGATGATCTGTATCTTCTTTGGAGAGCATTTCCGAACCTGTTTCTCAATGAAACTAGTAAGAGACACTTTGTGCATTGCAAAATTTAGTTCTGTCCTTTGTATGTCAGTTGACGGGACACTTCAACCCATGTTGTGTCAGATTTGGGGAACATTCTAGCTGTAACTAAGCATAAGAAGTTGATTCTTTGCTGAGGTTCTAGGCATATTTGAATGATCTATTCCAGAAGTTGGCAACCTTACAGGAGCAGCAGGCCGTATTAGGGCAGTCTGCCTTCCCTTGCCATCTGCCTGCCCAGCTGCCTTCGCCCTTGCTAGCTGCACGTTCCTATTCCATGTTCCCCCTTTACTGCCCACTCCCTTTGCCAGCTCCCCACCCACC